ACAAATCCCTTTAGGTAGCAATAGGCTGAGCCCCACACGGATCCCATAGGGCCTGGCTCTGTGAGATGAGAGCGGGCAAGGCCCATTCTCTCCTGCACATGTGGTCTGTATGGTGGGGACTGGACCAGCTTGGAGGTAGGGGCTCCCGGGAGCTCGGGCCCCTCCTATCTCCCAGACCCCGGACCATTGAAGTGCATGCACCCCAGGGGGCCCCGGAGGAGGAGCCCCGTTCTGGATCTGTTCCTCCCTACCTGGCAGGTGGGGCAGGCCTCTCCCCCCGCCACAGAAGACCCATCTGTAAGGTCCCCCCACTGGTGGCTCCAAGGGCAGCTGGTTCTTGCACAGCTGACCAGAGCCGGGGACAGGATGTGCGCGCGTGTGTGTGTGTCCCCAGAGGATGAGCCGGCAGAAGTTGTGTTCCTCTCCTGACATAGGCTCAGTCGTGACACAGCATACTCTCGCTGGTACTCCGGGGGCCAGAATGCAGACCTCCCCTCTCCACGGAGGGGTCTGGCAGACCACGGAGAGCTGGTGGCCTAGTGGGCTGGCAGACACAGGCTGCCCTTGGCGGTGTGCTGTCCTGTGGACCAACATCCACCCTGGGCTCCCCACCGGCAGAGCTGCCTGCAGCTCTATGAGACGGGACCCGCTGGCAGCATCCCAGATCACTAGCGGTCGGTGCACGCCTTTCTGCCAGGTTGAGGAGGACGCCGGCGGCCCTGGCCCTGGCTGAGCCCCTTCCCACCCAGCGTGGTGTTATGAGCCTGGGCTGCCGCCAGGCCACCACCACCCTGTCAACCACTGGGAATTACAGTCTCTCATCCTCTTTGTGGCCGGGAATGCAAGCTTCCCAGGAGAAGGTGAGCCCTCGGGGACCGCCTTCCGCTACAGGCTGGTGTTGCTGACTTGCGGTCACCACGCAGGGCTCAGCGGGGCAGCGGGCACGGTGGTTGCAGGGCCCGGCCCGCTGTGAAGTGGGGATGAGCAGGCCGGAGAGGGGTGTGCTGCTGGAGAGACTGCCGTCCGAATCCCAGTTCTCTGGCTGGCTGTGTGTGTGCCCTTGAGCGTGCAGACAGCTTTCTTTTGTTCCCGCCTCAGTGTCTGTTTGCAAAGCAGTGGTCCCGTTGGCACCCCCGTCTGGGATTGCGAAGAAAATGGAGGGTCGGTGTGTGTGTGTGAGGGCGGGGGCGGCTTGGCCTTGCGCTCTGTCAGTCCAGCCGGCTGCGCTCACTGCACACCGCACCGCTGCGAGGCGGCAGGCCAGGTCCTCTGGAGAAGGCGGCGGTAGAGGGAAGGGAGACCCACCCTTCTCCTGTCCACGGGGCAGTGAGCAGCAGCATCCTTGCCCCTGCCCGGCCACCCCCCACCCCAGAGCTCCCACTCGACCCTCTGACTCGCAGCCTTCGTAGACTGTTGGTTGGAGGAAAAGGAAGCCTGGCTGCTGCTCGTGATTCCGGCCCTCGTCTTGGGGCAGCAGAGCTGTGGCTGGTTCTCATCCCCCTTCTGAGCCTGCCTTCCCAGACTCAGCCTTCCCGGGCCGGGCAGGGTGCTGCCGTAGGCTGGGAGCCCATGTGATTTCTGTGAGGAGCACAGACCGGGGGTTACTCTGCCAGGCGGCGCGGTGGGGCTCCGGCACGCTCCTAGTGGGGGACGAGCCCCATCAGGGACCCCTCTGCGGCTGCCCCTCCCCTCCCGTTGGGTGACTCTCCCCTCCTGTTGGGTGAGGAGACACCACAGGAAGTACTCCTGCCTTTGTCTCAAGAGCAGTGATGAAGATGTTAAAAAAAAAAAAAATCAATATGTAAGTCATAAATTGGAAGAAGATATTTTCAAATGAAGAAAAAAGAAAAAAAAGAGCAGTGATGAGCAGTGTTGTAGGATCCTCTTTGGGACCCCAAACTATGAGCTTCTCCCGGGAAGCTCGAGCCTGTGGAGTGAATCCTAGCTGTGTGGGAGGACCTGTCAGCCGTGGCCCATCACTCGGCCCAGCTTGCAAAAGGTCTGCTCCGAGCCCGTGCCGTTGGCTGCCCTTTAACGGGAGCAGGGAAGAGTCCAGTCCTGTGGCCGTGTGGGGCTGACACAGCCCTCTGAGCTGCCTGCCTGTCTGTGGGCATCAGCTACTAAATCCCAAAGAAGTCAGCCCTGAGTGCGTCTGCGGGGCAGCCTGTGTCTTCTTGGGCCAGCAGGGAGGGTGTGGGGACAGGAGGGTGGCATTCAGCCACGTGTGGGCAGCTCCTGCCAGTGGTCTCTGCCAACGAGACCCCAAGGTGGGGTAGGCAGTGTCTCAGCTCTCCCTCCCCAGAGTTCCCCAGCATGACTTCTTTCTGCGGCTCCTTGAGCGGCCTCCGCCTTGGATGGCAGGCAGTGTGATGCTCTGGGGTGGATCCTCCCCCAAGAGGCTGCAGGGCAGGAAGAGGCCACAGCACAGAGCCTCTCTCAGGGCACAGGGCTGGCTCCTGGAGGTCCTAGCCTGCCCTTCCCTGTACCGTACCTGCAGAGGCCCAGCAACTCTGGGTCCCACTCCAGGCACAGTGCTCCTAGGGAGCAGATTTCTGAAGGTCTAGTAGGTCAGCACCAGGCATGCAGACCCCTTCCCTCCATCTCTGTCTTTAGTGTGGGCCAGGCCTTTGGCTCTAGCCAGAGCATCGCTCTCTTTCCCCCCACTTCCTCTCCCCCTTTCACCTGATCCCCTTTCTCTTTCCACTCCTTCCCTCTCTCTCCCTCTGTTTCTCTCCTGCTCTCTCCCTCTCACCCTTGCTCTGTGGTCCAGGCCTGTCTGGCAGGGCAGCACCCACACTGGGCACTGGGCTGGCAGGACCGAATGCACACTTCCCTCCAATTTGGCATTCCCAGCCTGGCTGCCTTTGAGGTCATCCTTGGGAAACCTTCCTCAGTGCAAGCAACCTTCTAGTTTTCTTACTGTTTTACCACTTTGGGATCCAAAAGGTCTCGCCTGTTCTCTTCACCTGACTTCACCTGGCACTTGATTGTTTCCCACACCCAAGGGAGTCCTCAAGGGCCCAGGCAGACCCAGGGTTCCTCTGCTCGTGCGGAGTGGACCGGCCACTCACCCCCATGGCTGCAAGGGAAGCGGGATGTAGGTGGAAACAAACCAATGGAAAGGAGAAATCGGTTACACAAAAGTAGTGTTTCTCATGTTTGCTTTGTGCGTTGGTACATTTTTGTGCTTCGTAGAGTAGGTTTTTAAGCACTTGCAGGTTTTTTAAGCATTGCTTGCCCTTTTATCCACCTTTAAAAAAATTCTTACTATTTTATAAAACTTCTTGTGATGAAAAATGCTGAACATACACAAAGTCAACAGAGTTAGTAGGATGAGGGCTCCCGTGGGCTCACCCAGCGCAGCCATGGTCAGCATCCGCCTTCCTCGTGGCATTTACAGCTCTACCCCCAGTCCCTTGGCGATCAATTTCGGCAGAATCTACATAGGTTGAAGTGCATAAATCTTGGCTGTACACTGTTAACCAGTGGATGCGCCTGTGTGAGCCACGCCCATATCGGGATACAAAGCCTTTATGTTCCCCAGAACATGCCTCCTGCCCTTCCTGGTCTCTTGCCTCCCCCGCCACCAGCAGGTAGCCAGTCTGATTTCTGTCACTTAAAATCAGTCTGGAACCGTGCCATGTGATTCTCTCATGCTGCTGCTTCTACTTGGCAGGATGTCTGTGAGATCCGTCCAGGCTGTCATGTGTATCAGTGGCCCTGATGGACCACCGTTTGCTTATCTGTTCACCCGCTGGAGCACATCTGGACTCTTTCCAGTTCTTGGCTCTGTGAATAACCCCAGCATTCATGAATAAGTCATTTGATGGACATACGTTTTCATTTCTCTTGCATAAATGGAGTGGAATTTCTGGGTCATATGGTAGGAGTGTGATTGACTTTAGCTAAAGATTTATTAGTGCTCTGTTCATCTTTGGTGACTCCTGCCTGCCCTGCTTGTCTGGCAGCGTCTTGTACACTTGAAAACTCTGGCTCCAGGTGATTTGCTCAGAAGCCTGGGTGAACTCCCAGCTGAGTGGTTCACCTGCTTATCAAACTTGGGTAATCGAGAACGATTTTGCAACGGCTTTAAGCTGCCTCACTTCCTCCTTTTTCTGTTTTAAAGCGGTGTCCTTTCAGCTAGTGTTTTTTATTTAATATTTAGTTAGTTAGTTAGTTAGTTCGTTAGTTATTTAGTTGCGCTGGGTCTTAGTTGCAGCTTCCAGGCTCCTTATTTGTGGCTCGTAGTTCTCCTTAGTTGCGGCTCACCAGCTCCTTAGTTGCAGCAGGCGGGCTCCTTAGTTGTGGGATGCGAACTCTTAGTTGCAACATGCATGTGGGATCTAGTTCCCTGACCAGGCAGCAAACCCGGGCCCCGTGCTTTGGGAGCACAGAGTCTTAACCACTGCGCCACCAGGGAGGTCCCTCAGCTAGTGTTTAGCTATATAGATAATTGTGTGTTGATGTACTTAGGACTGCAGATGAGAAAGACCTACTAAGATCAGAATTTTAAGTTAGTGAAGTTTTCTTTTCTGGTCCACAAAGAATCTATTATTAAAATGTAAAATGGGGGATGATGGGATGAATTGGGAGATTGGGAGTGACATATATGCACTGTGCATACTATGTATAAAATAGATAACTAATGAGAACCTACTCTTATAGCTCAGGGAACTCTACTCAGTGCTCTGTGGTGACCTAAATGGGAAGGAAATTCAAAAAGGAGGGGATATATGTATACGTATAGCTGATTCACTTTGGTGTACAGCAGCAACTAATGCAACATTGTAAAGCAACTATACTCCAATTTTAAAAACTGTGAAATAAAGCCGCTGGGGAATACTGGTCTGCCTAGGAGGCCTGCTCTGGGCTCTGTCATCACCCCTCCCTCCCTCCCTCCCTCCCTAGCCCCAGGTCCAACTGTACTGACTGAAGTCTGAGAACTGGCCCACAGAAGCTGGGCTCCCTGGCACCTCTTCCCTCCCCTCCCCTCCTCAAGGGATGCTTACTGGGAGAGGCTGTACTTGGACCAGCCAGCCGGCATGCCCCTGCTCTACGTCCACGCCCTGCAGGACGTCCCCGAGGAGGTGCCCAGCTTCCGCCTGGGCCAGCACCTCTACGGCGCCTACCGCACACGGCTGCATGAGAACGACTGGGTCCGTATCCAGGAGGACACGGGGCTTCTCTACCTTAACCGGAGCCTGGACCACAGCTCCTGGGAGAAGCTCAGCATCCGCAGTAAGGGAGCAGCCCTGACCCCTACGCACCTCACTGCCCCCACCCCCCCGCCCTCGCCTTAGCCTCACACAGCACACATCACACCGAGGGTGGCTTCCCCTATGGCTCCTGCTGTGTGAGAGTGGAGAGAGTGAGATGAGGCTGGCCTGCCTCTGTGCACAGCCAGTGAGGGAGTCGGGGTGAGCTTGGGGACCACTGATGACCCTTAGGCCTTCTGAGGCTGTTTGGATTTTGGAGAACCCATGTGAAGGATTTGGGTGCTCTGTCCATGCAGGATCCAGATGCCTTTTCCAGTTGGGTTAACAAGAATTTGGGGTTGTGAGAGAGGAGTTAAGAGGAGAAAAATCCCAAGATCTTGCTTTAGCAAATGGCCTGCAACTTGCTGGAGAAGCAGCAGTTCCCACGGAAAGTGTGGCTCGTAGTTCTCCTTAGTTGCGGCTCACCGGCTCCTTAGTTGTAGCAGGTGGACTCCTTAGTTGTGGGATGCGAACTCTTAGTTGCAGCATGCATGTGGGATCTAGTTCCCTGACCGGGGAGCAAACCCAGGCCTCCTGCTTTGGGAGCACAGAGTCTTAACCACTGCGCCACCAGGGAAGTCAGCAGCAAGCTGCCCTTGACACCTGGCAGGGACTTGGGCCTGGTGCCAGAGATGGAAGTGGAGCAGGGAGGAAGGCCTGGCCAACTCCTAAGAGCAGAGGTCCCAGCTGGAGTGTAGGCCACGTGGGACCTTGGGACTTGCGGGGAGCAGGGGTCGTGGAGCAGAGTTGTGCCTCGTGGCACCAGATGGTGATCACACACCCAGAAGTGCCCCCTCTGTGCCCCTCCCCTGTAGACATGGCCTCCCTGGACCCTCACGCCAGCCCTGAGCCCCCGTGTGCACTGAGAGAGACAGGCGGCATGCCTGGGAACACGGAGTGGGCGGCACTGCCCGGCAGGGGCAGAATGACCGCACCCATCTGCCAAGTGAAGCCAGGGTCCCCAAGTAAAGATGCCCCCCGTCAGGGCACCCCAGGCAGCTCCTGGAGGAGGTAGCACCTGACATAGGTCTTGGTTCCGCACACACTTAGTTGCCGCCGTCTGCATCTCGAGCCTCCAGTGGGGAACTTGAACCAGGGCCACTGGGGTGGAGGCCAGAGTGGAATCTGCTGAGGGTCTGAGTTTCGTAGGAGGCCTGTTCTGTTCGTGACTGGAGAGTGACCTCAGGTACCTGTCGGGTCCAGTCAGGAGAGAAATCAGTAATTTGGACAGGGAAAGTTTGTATAGAGAATTATTAACCACAGCAGGAGATTGGAGCAATGGAGGACAGGCTAGTAAGAAGCACAGAGAACGAATGAATACGGGAGGAGCAGATGTGAGGGGCAGCCACTTCCCCAGGGCTGAGATAGAGGGCCCGGGAAGAGCCGCCGACCCCAGCTGAGATCCAGACCAGTTGGAGGGGGAGCTGCTGTGGTGCCTCCATGCTGGAACTTGCCAGAAATCCCCTCTCTAGGTGCTGGGGAAGTCTGTGTCTCCGAAGACAGTGAAACTGCCTGGGGGGCGGGGGTGGGGACATGGATTCCCTGGCAGTCCAGTGCTTAGGGCTCTCTGTGCTTTCACTCCCGAGGGCCCGGGTTCAATCCCTGGTCGGGGAACTAAGATCCCGCAAGCGGTGTAGCCAAAGATAGAAGAATAGAATAAATGAAAGTGTTTAAAAAAAAAAAAAAAAAAAAACGCCTTGGGGAAAGGGGCGGGGGAAAGGCCCCCCCCGGGGGAAGCTCCCACTTGAAAGTGTTTAAAAAAAAAAAAAAAAAAGAACTGCCTTGGGGAAAGGGGCGGGGCAAGAGCCCTCCCTGGGGAAGCTCTCCACTTGGTGTTAGACCCGGGGCTCAGGGCACTTCCATGAGGAAGGGTATTTGAGCTGAGACCTAAAAAACGGGAGGTGGGCCATTGAGGCTCCCCCAGGAGGTGGTGGCCGGACCAGAGAGCCCAGAGGAGCCCTGTGGACCCTGGTGAGGACTGGGCTTTGCCCCAGCCCCGAGCTCCTGCCCCCTCCCCTCCCTGTTCCGTTCCCCACCGCTGGGCAGGTGTGGCTGACACCCCGGTGGGCCTGACGTCTTCTCTCTCTGCAGACGGTGGCTTCCCGCTGCTCACCGTCTACCTCCAGGTCTTCCTGTCGCCAGCGTCCCTTCGTGAGAGCGAGTGCCAGTGGCCAGGCTGTGCCCGAGTGTACTTCTCCATCATCAATGCCTCCTTCCCGGCTTGCGGTGCCCTCAAACCCCGGGACCTCTGCTTCCCGGAGATGGGCCTGTCCTTCCGCATTCGGGAGAACAGGCCTCCCGGCACCTTCCACCAATTCCGCCTGCTGCCTGTGCAGTTCCTCTGCCCCAACGTCAGCGCAGCCTACAGGCTTCTGGGAGGTGAGTGCCTGCCACGTGGAGCCTTCCTCGGTGCCTGCTGAGTGCCAGGCACGGCGCTGCGGTCCCTCCACACAAGCCGTCGAGTTTACTCTGCACCACCCCATCATCCGTTCATTCAGAAGTCCACGAGTATCTCATGTACACCTGCCATGGGCCAGGCACTGTTCTGGGGACCAAGGATGAGAGAGTGAGCACATCAGGCCAAAATCCCACCTGCCTGGAGCTTCCATCCCTTGGGAGATGGAGACCCCACACACACGTGCTAAGGAAATCGGGTGGCCTCTGAAGGGACTAGGTGGGACGTAAAGCTGAGAGAGAGTGTGGAGTGGTGAAGACCACTGTCTCAAATCAGATGGCTGGGAAAAGGGGACACTGGAGCAAAGGGGGGGGGGTGCCAGGCAAGCAGGGCGAGCCCCTTCAAGAGCACCAAGGTGGCAGCCCCATGTAGCTGGAGTGCAGTGAACCACAGGGCAGGGTGGAGGCTGCTGAGGGCAGAGCAGTTCCAAGTGGGGGGCAGGGTTTCCTGTCGAGGGACTGGGGAGCCATGGAAGGTGTTTGGGAGTGGGGGGGGGTCATTGACAGGACATACCTTTAAGAGCTTAGTCTGGCTGCTGTGTTAGAAATGATTGGGGGTGGGTGGTTTAGGGGCAAGCAGAGAAACAAATTAGGAGGCAGGAGAAATCCTTGAGTGAGAAGATGAGGTCTGGGGTGAGGGTGGAAACCTTTGGGCAACAAGAAGCAGGCGAGTTGTGGGCATGTTTGGGAGAAGGATCCTGCGGGATATCCTGGTGAGTTGGACGTGGGGTGTTGAAAGAAAGAAGGGACCAAGAATGGTTCCAGGATTCCGCCTGAGCAGCCGCAAGGACAGTGGACCTTGCCACAAGATGGTCCTGCCACAAGATGGCCCTGGGGAGGCCAAGAGCACGGATGTGGGGAGGGGAAGGGAATCGGATCCCAGTGGAGATGAGAGAAGGCAGCTGAGGTACCATTAAACCATTTAAAGGCGAGGAACTGGGACTCAAAAGGGACACTTACAAGCTGGACTTTACTAGTAAGTAGAACCTGGATTCACACCAGGTTGATGGCACGCACACGGTAATAATGTTGAAGAAAATCTCAGTAGCGTAAGGAAAGTAGTCACTCACATTGTCCCAGCATCTTTTCATTTATCCTGCAGCAGGGATAGATGTCTTTGTGCAGAATTGCCGGCCAAGTGTATGATTTAGCGTGCTGCCTTTTTCGCTAAAAAAAGGGTTTTTTGTAACCGTGAACAATAGAGGGACATGTTTGCATGATAAGCATTTCCCACATGTGTAATTCACATGTAATGTGTGGCTCTGATGTGATTTCCCACTGAGTGGAGTTGACAGCCCTCCCGTGCTTGGCTGTGGGGTGGTCAGGGTTGACCTTCAAGCCCTCAGCCTTTCCCCTTTTCTGGGTCATTTCTGGAGGATGAATTCCAGGACAGGCTTGGCTTGAAGAGTGTATTGTTACCGGTCCTCCCTCACCGGGTTGTGGGAAGACACATGAGTCACTGAACGTACATCCGTGTCTGGCAGGGAACAGACACTTTTGTCTTCATCATCTCCTCTTCTGGTGAGGAAACTGAGGCACAGAGAGACAGAACCACCAGCCTTGGGCCACACAGCCAGGAGGTGTATAGGACAGGGATTCAAACCAGGCAGTCAGAAATACTTGTGTGTTAATATAAAATCACACCAGATGTCCACCATGTTTGTTTCCAAGTGGTGGAATAGCTTTATTTCTCACATTCTCTAAAATAAGCACATACTGCTTCCATAATTAAAAAAAAAAAAAAAATTCCTAAATCTTTTTTTTTCCGAAACCAGCAAATGCTGGGAGCTGAATCTCTGGGCTGAGCTGGTGCCAGCCCTCCCCACAGCAGAGGCAAGGTGTGTGAAGGGGTGTGCCCAGCCCTCCTAGGTGATCGGGCTGAGGTCCTGATGCAGGCGTCCTGGTCCCGGTCCCTCTGTTGCCCATCAGCACCAGTGCAGGCTGCAGCCACAGTGAAACTCAGGACACAGTCTTCACTGCAAACTGTGCTTGGAGCACCGTGCCCCACTGTGGAGCCGAGGAGGAGCCAGGGCCCGGGGCCAGCATGCACCCCAGCTCCATCCACAGGCCCCCCTCCCGTGCCACCACTCCCGGTGGGCCCCTGAGGAAGGCCGCTCACCCTTTCCCCAGCCCGGGGTTCAGCCCGGGGTTCCTGGTCTGCTTGGTGCGCAGGTGAGAGTCTGCCCTTCCGCTGCGCTGTCGACAGCCTGGAGGTGAGCACGCGCTGGGCCCTGGACCGCGAGAAGCGGGAGAAGTATGAGCTGGTGGCTACGTGCACGGTGCGCGTCGGCGCGCGTGAGGAGGAGGTGATGGTGCCCTTCCCCGTGACCGTGTACGATGAAGATGACTCTGCGCCCAGCTTCCTCGGGGGCGTCGACACCACCAGCGCCGTAGTGGAGTTCAAGCGGAAGGAGGTGCCTGTCCGTTTGTCTGGTGCTTGTCTGGTGTCTCTCTGTTCCGTGTCTGGATTCCTCCATCCGCCATTTATTCCTCGGTCTGTTCAGCGGTTCGTCTAGCCATCCAGACATGTTGCTGACCGTCCATCTAGCTATTCGGCTTTCATTTGTCCATCAGTCTGTGTGTCGGGGTTTTCTGTCGGTGTCCAGGACAGCTGAGGAGTAGAGAGGAGGCCAGCCCCACCGGCACCCAGCTGACCACTGCCTTGGGAGGCCGGGGGCCCTGAGTGCCCAGTCTGTGTCTGACGCCCCGCAGGCGGGGCCCCAGGGCTCACATCAGCAGGGAGCTCCCTGCGCCCTATCCCGGCCCCACCCTTTTCTGGTCCACGCAGGTGGAGCGTGACTGCCACCTGCTGGGCCTCCGACTGTCCTGCAGCTGGCAGGCCAGCAGGAGCAATGGAAGGGTGGGGGCGTAGTATGTTGTCACTGCCTGCTTCTCTGGGCACCCCAAGAGCAGGTTTGGCGGATTAGGCGGGGAGAGGAAAGCACATGACACAGGGGAATGTCTCATGAGCCTGGCATGACCCCCTGGTGGTGACATTGGGGAGCCTGGTTAGCAGTGAGAGCAGAGATGCCCTGTGACTGTGCTCAGAACCTTCCTCCTGACCCTCTCCAGCCTGGTGTACAGAAGAGACTTGGAAGAGAGCATTCTGGTGGATACCTGGGCTTGGATCCCAGGTCTGCCGTCTGTCACTCTGTGGCACTGAGCTAACTCCTCCGCCTTGTGGGGCCTGGTTTCCTCAGAGAAGAGTAGGAGTGCTTGCTCTGCTCTGTGGGGACCTAGATGAGGTCTTCAGCAGAGCACCAGGGCATGTGCTCTCATCCATCTTTATGGGGCATTTGTAGATGCCTGTCACACCTGCTGCACAGGTGAGCTGCAGTGGCCCAGGAAGGGTGACCGGGGCAGGCTGACTAGGGGCCCCGGGGAACTTGAACCCAGGTCAGTCTGTCCCTAGAGCCAGCTCTGACTGCACACACCTGGTCCACTTGTGGGGCACGTGCCTTCCCACGGTCTCTGGCTTTAAGGGCCCTAACTGGCACCCCCTGTTCTCTGCAGGGCACTGTTGTGGCCACACTACGTGTCTTCGATGCAGATGTGGTGCCAGCATCCGGGGAGCTCCTGAGACGGTACACAAGCACGCTGCTCTCTGGGGATGCCTGGGCCCTCCAGACCTTCCGAGTAGAGCACTCGCCCAACGAGACCTTGGCCCAGGCCAACGGCAGCTTTGTGCGGGCAACCGTGCATGACTACAGTAAGAGAGGCCAGATGTGGCCTGGCTGGGCCCCCTGGGGAACCGGCGGCCCACTCTCCTTGGATGGGGCAGCACCCTGCACACAGACGCCTGTCCTGGCCCTCTGAGCACCAGGCAGCCACCCCTTTCACTCCTCCTCCTAGCCTTTGTCTCTGCTGGGCTTGCCTGGGCCACCTTGGTGGGTGTTCGCAGGCTGTCCTCTCCATGAACTGTCCTGAGGCCGACCCTGGCAGGACACCACGGCACCTCCCCGTGCTGGCCACGCCAGGACTCACTGCAACACGTATGTCGTCACCGAGGCCTCCCTCTGGCCCCTGGCACCTGCTTTGCCACCTCCCAGGTGCCCGAGTGCCCAGGGGTTATTGCCCCCTCCCCCCACCAGCAACTGTCTACTCACAAGGGGTTGATGTATCCATACAATAGCAGCTCAGTGTCCTAGAGTCGGAGGGCTCCCCGATGACTGTCCTGTCTGGCTCCTGGAATGCGCCCACCCTCAGGGCTGAGCTCCAGGTGCCCGCAGTGCTCACCTGCAGGACGGGGCATACTCATCCTCAAGCTTCCCTGCCTCCCTCCCCTGCCCTCCTGCCCGTGTTTTCTAGCATCACCTTTCAAATACCCCACTTGCACTTGGGTCCTTGTTTGGGGGTCTGCTTCTGGGGAACCCAGGATCACTGGTGCCTTTACCCCTTTCTGGCTGGCCTGCTCCTATTTGTTTCTCATCCTCCCCTCCCCCACCAGGCCTCTGAAGCCATCTGTCCTGTGTGAGGGAAAACGTCATCCTTGCCCCTGCATACTCACTCTGGTGCCATGTGCACCAGAGCCCCCCCCTCCCCCTTTCTGTCTCCACTAAACTAAAACCTTAGCCTTGGCACACGGCAGGTGCTCAGAAGCGTGGAAGCTCCCGGGTGTTGGAGGCCTGTGGAATCCAAGGGTCCACAGGAGGCTACTGCAGTTGAGCGTTCTCAGGGGCCAGCACAGTCTTCCCAGGGCCTTGGTGGTGGCGGTTCTTTACCTTGTGTGACCTACCCCGCACTCACATCACACACACGCACACACACACACACACACACACACGCACACACACCCAAGGTTACCTCCTAGCTGAGAAGGGTCTTCTGGGCTCCCAGCTCAGCACAGCGACTCACTACTTTTAAATAGTAGTTCTCCCTTAATCCGCCAGGTCTGTTATCTGTGTCCGTGTGGGTGGAGGTACCTGTTTCCACATGTGTGCGCGGAGCACGTTGGGGAGGAGGCATGCAGCGGCGTGGGACAGTGGTCCCGACCTGCAGGGGCCCCGCCCATCATCACCGTGTGCCCTCGGCACAGACACACCCCCTCCCCCCCCCCCC